GCCCCAAACCCTAAACCCTCAAAAAAGCACGCGAACAGGGCCTCCAGCTGCTCTGTCGACTGCGAGCGCTACCCCTCGCCGAGCAGCCCCTCAGTCGGCGCCGCTGAGCTGAGGAAGGGGGGGGCCTTCAAGGGCCCTCTTAAGTTGGGTTTAGGGTTTAGGGTTTAGGGTATAGGGTTTAGGGTTAGCATAAGAATATGTTAGATTATCCCAAAGGGTCCTAGGTACTGTTATGGGGGATACTTCCCGAAATCAAAGTAGTAATTCTTAATATAGAAACCCTGCATTCTACTATATAGGTACATTGGACCCTTTGGGTTAAGTTGGGAGTCTTTTAAGAGTTTAGGGTTTAGGGGTTCAGGGTTGAGGGTTCAGGGGTTGAGGGTTTAAGGGTTCAGGGTTCAGGTTTAAGGGTTTAGGTTTCAGGGTTGGGTTTAGGGGATTAGTGGATAGGGTTCAGGGTTTAGGGTGCAGGGTTCAAGGGTTGAGGGTTCAGGGGTTCCCGGTTTAGGGCCGTTTAGGGTTGAGGCTTCAGGGTTCAGGGGTTCCTTTTAAGCGTTCCCTTACGGGTGCTACGGCTGATGGACAAAATCCTGCATGACCTTATATACCTAAACTATGGGATTTGTGGTACTATACTATATTTGGGTCATGCAAAACCCTAAACCCTAAACCCTAAACCCTTGTCCATCAACAGTAGTAAGGAGAGTCTTGTCTTCGGCTGTGGCTTAGGCCGGGCACAGCATGAGCAAGGCTGCTAGGGGTCAGGGTTTGGGGTTTAGGATTTAGGGGTGTTAGGTTTAGGTTTAGGGTTTACGCTTTGGGATTTAGGGTTTAAGGTTTAGGGTTTAGGGTTTAGGGTTCTAAAACCCAGAAACCCTAATTAGGCCCTAAACCCTAAACAGTGGCACCTTCTTGAACCGGCAGAAAGCCCGGCAAAAGCCTTGTACCTCCAGCCCGTTAGAAGAGGCCTCGCCATTTCGGCAGCTGCGCGGGGAGAGTATTGGCAGTGGGCCGCCACGCAGCTCGACGTTGCAACACGAGTTTGTCAATGCTTGGAGGTTTTTGAACTTGACATGGTTACCATGGGTGTGGGGTCTTGGGGTCAGGGATTACCCTGGGGGTCCAAGTACCTAATAACCATATACTCTCCCAAATAGTAACCTACATAACTACTATCCGAAACCTAACTACCTTATTATTGGGTCCTTTGGACCCCTGGGGGTCAGGGATTATCCCTAAACCCTAAACCCTAAACCCTACACCCTAAACCAAACCGTTATTGATGGAGCTGTTTAAGGTTTTCGAGCTTTGACATGAGCTTGGGCGAGTGCTTGCTTTACCCTTCAGGCGGGCGGACTGCTAGGAGCCACGGACATCTGAAACCAACGCTGCAAAAAGCAAAAACAAACCCTCACCCACAGGCTTTCTAGATCGAACATGTCATGCATGAACCATGATGGCTATGATGATGATGATGATGATGATGACGATAATGATGATGACGATGATGATGATGATGACGATGATGATGATGGCGACAACTGCCTCTGAGCGCAAGGATCCCCATTCACCTCATCCTATACTATACCCCGACACCCAAATCTAGTTATTTACGCCCCTGCACAAAACCCTCGTAGTCGCCCTTGCCTTATAGCAACCCTTCCAAAGACGCCCGATAAAGGATCACAATGCTGGTGATTAAGGACCAGGTATCCCCAAGGCTCAATGTACCCATCTAAGAAATGTATACATATATATATATATA